GAGGGAGAGAGAGAGAGAGAGAGAGAGAGGGAGAGGGAGAGGGAGAGAGAGGGAGAGATGCTGCTATCGCACTTCCCTTTGCCAGCTGGAGAAACAATTTGTGCGAAGTCCGTTTAAACATTCATTTTAATACCTTTAGTACCAGATACGGTGTGCATGTGTGAGAGTAGGGAGGGAGGAACCAAGGCGCAGAGTGAAGAAACTTAGAAACGGATACAACAGTTAAGCTTTTGGTCGTTGCTGTGGGTACGAGGAAGGGTGGCCTCGGCCTCATGTTTAGAAGGTTTATCCTACCTGCGCCCTTGTGGCTCAAACCTTCTCCGTCAGGTGTCTTTGGACATTGCCACTAGATGGCAGCACGAGATTGCCAAACACAAGAAAATTGTCCGGATCCTTTGGTAACAGAAGCATTTTTAAAACTTATGCGGGGGCGGGGGACACGTGGACCCAAACTTTCAAAGTCTAAGAATAAATTTTGTATACGGTGAAGTCATACACACATTTTGGGTTCTTTGTTCCTATGCACGTTTAGTCTATGGTAAAGGACCAGCATTTTCACCAGATTCTCTACAGTTTGGGACACAGAGAAATTTAAATTCACTCATCTACCTGAACAGAGGCAGAGGTAGCTTTTGTATCATGAAGATGAGTTACAAAGGGGAAATGACCCTGCTGTGGCACGGTTTAAAAACACACAGTTCAGAGTTTTGGGTCCTCAAACGTTCCCACATCCCTTACGTCACCAAAAGAATAACCAGTAGCAAAACTGTTCCACGAGCTGTGACTGCTTTTCTAGTGTGTCCTTTGCTACTTTCTAAATGAATAAAAATGAACGAAAGTTGCTGTGTTTTTCTTTTTGGTTATTAATTTCATTTTTCCATGTTGCTCCCGGATTAGGATATTTGGCAAATATTTGATTTTTTATTCCTATTTTTATTTTTTTACTTCATTTTGAAACTCCCACTTTAATTTTCAGATATCTAACGCATACTTTTCCTCATCATGAGGGAATACTTACACATGAATAGCAACGGTGCTTACAGAATGTTATTATCCCTCGAGGTCTTGGGACACTTTAAGGACGGGGTATTGTCGTTGTCGTACATGACAGATGATGTGTAAGCCCTGTAGAGATAATTTTATTTTTAGGTAACTCTAAGAGAGAGAAGAAAAGCCGAAGTCTGTGATAGTGCAGTGATCTTCTTGAAGCAACATGGAAAGTGATGGCGGGCACAGATATCGAATTAAACGCTTCTCTGTTTAAGCCCCTTTTCCCCCTTTATTACCATGTATATTCTTATTGAGAAATGATTTTTTCCAGTGATTTTTGTACCAGTCCCTCCTTGCTCTAACATTTACTTATTTAGAAAGTATTTTATTTAGCATGTTTGATCTTTTGCACTCTACTTTTAATTTTGGGAATTTTCTTGATATATTTTCTTTTTTCCCTTAAATTCTTTTATTGATACATTTTAGGTACACAATACAGTTACATTCGAAATTGAGAAAGGCACCGTGATATCACTAAAGGGCGTACAGAATCAAAGCTGAAAGGCTGCATACGTTCATCTAACACCTAATTACTGAGCTTCTACATTCCAGGCGCTGATCGTGTTGCTTGGCTACTCCCGCATCGACTGAACTGACAGGTAGCAGATCCCAGGGGTTCTCCAGTGACTTCAGTCCTGCTGTGTCAGCCAAGTCTGTGCTGGGGGCGATGTTAGCAGGCAGCCTGCCTGTCTGATGTGTGTGGAGACTGAATTAGCTGTGCAGAATCACTTCACGAACCATAAGCACATGCTGCTGCTGCTGCTTCATAATCAGCAGTATAATCTTCCAGTACAATGAGCAAATGTGCGGAATTAGGACCTCGTGCTAATTTTGCAAAACTTTCCAATACTGGCTTTGTTGTAGGTTTGTGAGCCGCACTAAAGGGAAGTGGAGGCAGCTCTGGGGGACAGCAAGGAGCTCTGGGGATTTTGGAATTGGTCACTTAAGTCCTAAACTAAATCCACTACTTAAGTGTTGTGATTTTTTTTTTTTTTTGTATAATGCTGAAGGTCAAACCCTGGGCCTTGTGTTTGTTTTTAAGACAGGGTCCTGCTATGTAGTTCAGGCTGACCTTCAACTCTCTGTGTAGACCTTGAACTCATGGGAATCTTCCTGCCTCAGCCTCCCAAGTACTAGGATTACAGGTGTGTGCAAAACTCCTGGCTCAAACCCAGGGCCTTACAGTGGCCCTTGTGGTTCTTTTAATTCCACCTGTAAACATGGGATGCCTAATGCATTGAGCACTTGTAGCTCATTTCTTGAAGGAGATGAAGTTTTCAGACTATAAACATGAAAAACCTTAATTATTTTCATCACTGATTCTCCCAAATGTCTTACAATCTCCAACATCCCTGGTACTCATTAATATCTTGCTTGTTGAAGCAAGAAACCATGATTTTCTTTTCTAAGAAAAGAGTCAAGTTGTAGCATCATGTTCTTAGCCAAAAATATAACTCAGCTACTTCTACTCTTCAGCGAGTTTTTGTAAAACCATGAATACCTTCCATATTCCCTTGTCAAATGAAACATTAAAAATAAAATGTTATATACGTGTTTTAAAAATCTCGACACAGGAAGACCAAAACAAAAAACAAAGACATAAAATGTACCGACCGATAAGGTTAATTAAAAAAAAAAATAAAGGCAAACAACAAAACCAAACCACAGGTAAAAATAAATCACATCACTCAGTAGTTACATTAGTGAGAGACAAAGGCACATGACATTTAAAAGCATTCTAAGCTTTCTAAAATGACTATGTTCTTTAACATATTTACTGGAAATTACTGTAGAAGTCCCCTCAGAAGTCTATCAGGTTTTCTCTTGTCTTTTTCAGGTGGCATAAATCTCCTTTTATTCATTTGAACTTGAGACTGGGATTTTAGAAGCTTGCTTACCTTACTTACTTGTCCCCAGCGGTCAGAAGTGCTGTTGATTTAAGGCCGCCTCGCCGTTGCTTACAAGAGAAATATTTGATCGGCACTGCAGTGCCCTCAAGGGTGCAAGGGCTGCTGCTCCTCCCATGCTGACCTGTGCAGTCCTAAGGCTACAATTCTTGTGCTATGGATTTTGCTCTCTCTGTTTCTGAGCCTGTGAACCCTGCTGGGAAAGATGAATGAAGGGAGGGGAAGTCTTGGGGCAGGGAGCTGAGCGGGGGAGAAGTTGCATCTATAAATGCTACATACTTTAGTACATTGGTATGCGACTAACAATTTGGCCAACACGTAGCTGTGGCATGAGAACCATGGATGACCTCAACTCCTGTGTAGGTAGAGAAGACCTTACACTGGGAAGATCCTCTTACTCTCAGCTTTGTGACCAACTTGCCCCACATCTTCAGAAGGCTTCCTGCTCCTCTAGGAGGGACGCGTGTTCCATCTGTAAAATAGAATAGTAATTTCTGGGAGCCAGGAACGGCAGTTGCGTATTACAGTCAGGATAATGGACAGCTTTGGCAGTGCTGATTATGACTATGAATGAAAGCAGCCAGACAGATACAGCACAGCTAATGCACAAAGGATGGAAATGTAGGAGAAAATTGAGGCCATGAGGAGGAAGAACTAGGTTTGCAGATGCTCAGGGCAGGATGGAATTAAGGAAGGAAGGAAGGAAGGAAGGAAGGAAGGGGGGAAGGAAGGCGTTTGGGCGGGGGCTTCACCTTGAGTCAGGGCACTCAGTCGATTCCTGGCAGAAGCTTCGGGCCTTGGGATTGGCGGCGAAGGAGGACTGGACACCTAGCGGTCAGGAGGAGGGCGAGGGAGGGAGCAGCAGGGGACACAGGAGCGGGAATGGAAGGGTGGGGATAGGAACGGGGAAGACAACAGAGTCAGTTGTGTGAGGAGTTGGGGGCTTTACGTCTTTCTGGAGGAAGAGACCAAGGAGGGACCTGGTAAGGTATCCTGGGACAGAGAGAGGAGACACATGGGGACCGGGTAGGAGCTGAGGTGATGGCGGAACAGTACCGAGGCTGAGCGCCCGCTGCCCCTTCTCACTGTGTTCCAGACACGTGCGACACGCACGGAACGCTCTGCGCCTCTTTTTACTTTCGGTGCAAAGGAAACTCAAGAGTTTTACATAACTTGTTCAAGATCAAGAGCTCGTGTTCTAACCTAGAGGAGTCCCCTGAAAGGCCTAGGATCTCGCCTAGAAGGAGGGTTTTCACTGTAGCCTTTCCCAGGCTTTCTATTTTCACAAGTTGATTTGATCTCCTGGGTTTGCTGAACTTTGCTAAACTGGAGTCCATTTGTTGTGTTTTATTTTGTAAGGTGAGAGGTCAAACCCAAGAAGACAGCACAGCAGCACCGAATTCCTCAGTTTGCAAAGGCCTCCTCCTCTGTCCTTAGCTCTGGGCGCTCTATGCTGTTTGGCTTGCCAGGTCCCCGGAGATAACTTCTGGAGCTGAACACAATTATCAACTAGGAAGTTTTCTTATTTAAAATTGCCCTGATTAATTAGTCCCTCTGAAGCTTGTTTAGGTTCCACCACATCATCCATCTTTGGGGGCTGGCAGTCTCTCCACACTCAATGGTCTTAATGGTACCCAGGGCATCTCATTAGAGGAAGATCTGTAGCAACTGTTGGGCCTTGGAGCCTGGGTCATACACTGATGTGGATACTTTCAGTTACCATCTTGCTATAATGATTTCTCTGAAGAGTCCAACACTGTTTGCGGGGCTCCAGAGTCTTTTTTGAGTCACAGGAGTGTGGAGAACAGAAAATCCCCCACCTGTGATCGGGACTGAACTCCCTCTTTGTTAAGCAAGGCGACCAGAAACAAGGGAAGGAGGATTAATTGGTTCAAGTTCACACAGTTAGAAACATAAACTGGGTTAGAGCCTGGTCCTGCTACTTAGGGCAATGATTTTTTATAGAGTAACATGATACCGCCTTAAATAGAGAGGAAGGAAAGGTATCAAAAAGGAGGAAAAAGTAAATTAAGGAAGTAAAGCTCAAGTAACTGTCATTGAAAGGGGAAAAATCCACTATTTTATGATTCATTTATGATTTTCCCAAAGGAACTACCACTGTAAAATAAGGACAATGAAACAATTATGTTCTTGTGAAATTTTTGAAGTCTTTGTGGGGTAATGGGATTTTTTTAAAAAAATGGGAGCCAGTACTTTCTGGAAATTTTGGATGATGCCAGTATGCAGCAGAATAGCTTTGACTCCCAGCTGGGTCTCCTATTTCCTCTGCTTTCTCCTCTTTGATAGCTCATTTTATTTTTAAGTTTACCTGGATCTTTCCTTTGAGAAATACTGAATGTAAACTGAATGAATGTTAGCTGTGCCAATCTATGCATTTGTATGTGATCTTGCACATGCAACTACATACAAAGTAAACAGCTACATACATATTTACCTATGTATATGTGGAGACTCTGTGTGTGTACACATATCAGAGACCAAATATTTTATTTAACTTTGAGGGAGGCTTTGAAATGAGGAAATGCTGGCCAGATGACTAGATATAGTGTTGAGATTAAAATGTGACGATGCTACCGCTTGTCAAATGTTCAGTGTGAAGTATTTTGTTGTCTCTTCACTGTGCTGTTTCCTTTTCTTTGTAGAAGCCCTTAATCTTGGTCTACTTAATTTCAGTTTTTGCTGCTTGCGCTCTTTTTTTTTTTGCTACTGGGGATCAAACTTGGGTCCTTGTGTTTGCAAGGCAGGCACTGGAACCACTGAGCTAAATCCCCAGCCCCTGTTACTTGTGCTTTTGAGGTGGTAACTAAAAACAAAACAAAACAAAACAAAACAACAAAAAACCCCCAAATCCATATTGATGCCAATGGTATAAAGCATTTCAGTTAAATTTTCTTCTACTAGTTTCATAGTTTTGAGATTTTGAGTTAAATCTTCATTTTAAGTTGAATTTTGTAAATAGTGGGAGATACAGATCAATTTTATTCTTCATTTGTGCTTCACACTATATGTTCTTGGAAACCAGTAGGCTGTGTTTATTTCTGGGCTCTTTATTTTTCCCCATTGATGTTTATGTCTGTTTATTAATGCCAATACCACACTACTTTGGTTACTATAGCTTTATAATATATTCCAACCTGAAGTAGTGTGATACTTTCTGCTCTGCTCTTGGTCAAGATTGTTTTGACTAAGTGATGCCTTTTGCTATTTTATACAAATTTCAATTTTTTTCTGTCCTGGGAAGTATGCCATTAGTAATTTAATAAGGATTGCATTGAGTCTATAGATGCTTTGACCAGCACAGACATTGTAACAATATTAATTTTTCCACTACACTATTATGGATATGATTCTACTTACTTGCATCATCTTCACTTTATTTTATCAATATTTTATACTTTACAATATAAAGATCTTTCACCTCTCTGAATACATTTATTTCTATGTAGTGTTTGTTTTTTGAAGCTACTGTAAGTGGATTATTTTCTTGATTTCTGTTTCCATTGGTTTGTTTCATCTATAGAAATGCTACTGATTTTGTTTTTTTTTTTTTTTTTTTTTTTTTGGTATCGGGGATTGAACTCGGGTCCTTGTGCTTGCAAGGCAGGCCACCAAACCGCTGAGCTACTGATTTTCAAATGTTGATTTTGTGTCTTTAAAATACACAGAATTCGTTGATTAGTTCTGCTTTTTTGGTGGACAATTTGGAATTTTCCACATGTAAGATCATCTTGTCTGCAAGCAGGAGCTATTAAGTTCCTCCTTCCTAATGTGGACACCCTCACCCTTTTCTTGCCCAATTGCTCTGGCTATCACTTCTAGTACTGTGCCAAATAGAAGTAGTGAAAGTGGCTGTTCTTGTACAAGGAACACAAATAACTCAATAGGAAACAGACAAACAAAACCCCAAAGCAAATAAATAACCTGATTTAAAAATGGGGAAAAGTCCTGAATAGACATTTTGGCAAGAGAATACATACAGATTGCCAACAAGTATGTGAAAGAATTCTCAGTATCACTGCACAACAGGAGAATGCAAACTATAACCACAGTAAAACGTTACTTTACTCTAGTTAGGATAGCTACTATCAAAAAGATGGCACAAAAGAAGTGTTGAGAAGGATGTGCAAGAAAGAGACCCCCTCCCACTGTTGATGTGGATGCAAATTGGCACTGCCATCATGGAGACAGAAGGAGTGTGCTCAAGAATTTAAAATTAGAGCTTTCCATGCAAGGGCGAGGCCCTGGATATCCAGCACTGCAAAATAAAATAATAAAATGAAATAAACAGGCTAAATAAAATAAAGTGGAATTACCATATAATCCAGTGATTACACTGACAGGTGTACATCTAAAGCCAAGAAAAGCTGTATGTTGCAAAGAAGTTTGTACTCTTGGTTGTTGCTGCATTGATTCCAATAGTCAAGATGTAGAATCGGGCTGGGGATTTAGCTCAGTGGCACTGCACCTGCTCCACAAATGCAACGTCCTGAGGTCCTGGGTTCAATCCCCGGTATTGCAGGAAAAAAAAAAAAGATATAGAATCAATGTAAGAGTCTGTCAGTGGATGAAAGGATAAACAAAATGTGCTGGAGTACAATGGGGTACTATTCAGCCACAAAAAGAATGAAATCCTGACACTTGCACTCAGGTGAGTGAACCTGGTGGAACTGTACTCCATGAAATCATCAAGTTGAGTGAAAGTAAGTACTGCAAGATCTTCCTCTGTTCTGGAGCCTCAAATATCAGTGTCCTAGATGGAGAGATCGGACTGGAATCTGTCAGAGGCTGACATGGTGAAAGGGGTGAGGCTATGCTAGTTAATTACTCATAATGACAGGTAGAAGCAAGAACTGTGAGAGATCCATTATGCAACAAAATGACTGTTGTATTGATAAGAAATGTAAGTAGATTGTTATACGTTATTGCCACAAAAGTGATAACTTAATGAGGTGGTGCATTTATTAATTAGCTAATTTAATCATATATATATATATCTATATATATATAGATATATATAGATATATATATTAAAAATCTCTTGTCCTAACAACATAAAATGTTATCTGTCAGTTGTAAAAAGTAAAATAGAGGTCATTTAAAAATTAAAATGTGAAGGCTGCAATAGAAAGGCATGAGGAAGTTCATTTTCTTCTCTTTTTTACAAATCACACAAACAAGTAATTTGTTGCCTCTACTTGGCAACGCTTGCCTCTTAACGTTGTTTGGTGCTACGCTTTTGCACTCAAAAATAGTATATGTTCATAATACATGTTCCGATAAGGTAAGCAAACGCGTACTGGGAGAGAACCTAGATATGGCCACAGCCCAACTCTCTGGCCTCCCCGTCCCACAGCAAGCGCCAGGAGTTCTTGTGCTTTCTCCCGGAGAACTTTTATCTGTTAGCAAGGCTGCGCATTAATACTTTCCTAGTGTTACACTAAGACGGATGGGAAGATCCTGGAACGTAGTTCAGTGATTTGCTTCTTTAAATTCCGAAATACTTTGTGCCTTGGAGTTGGTATTCATGTATTGATTACTTCCTTGCTTACCGAACTCAGCGCGCAGGTCATCAAGGGCCGCATCGTCAGCTGCTGTGCGTGGGGCTTTCAGTCCGGGACAAGAGAGAAGAGCACAGTTACAAATGTACGTGGATTTCACCACGGAGAAAGTGCTACAGAGTGGAGATTCTCGGCTACGGGTACTTCAGGGGCTGCGGATCCCGCAGAGGATTAGAGCAGCAAGATCCGGCCCTGGTGGCGGAGCCAGGCCCCTGCGCAGTGCAGACCGGCTGAGCCTGGGCGCTGCTTCCACTCGCCGCAAGGTGGCGAGAGTTCCCTGAGAAAGGACCTTCCCGGCCCAGGCGGAGCTGGAAGGTGTTCTTTGGCAGGATGCATATAAACATTTAGCATCTATGGTTCATAATAACACATTGAGTGTAATGCATATATTTACACACACTGGCAGAATCAATTCTTCTTTTTTTTGTTTTGCTGTAGCGGGGATCAAACTCAGGACCTTGCACTCAGGACCTTGCACTTGCCAGGCAAGCGCCAGGACACTGAGCTACATCCCTGGCCCTAAATGCCTCTTTAATTTTATTGCAAAGGTAATACCGTGTGCCTGGGACTGAAAAGCCAAAACACAGTGAACCGTCTGGGGATCAGTAACAAATACCTTCTTCACCCTTCTCCTTAGTATGCAGCCCCTTCCGATTCACGTTTCACCTCCCTCTCTCTGTTTAAAAGCCATCTTCTGCACAAACAAAAACGTGGTATTTACACACAACACAGTGCTTTACGTCCTCTGTAAAGAAGGGTAACCTCGAGTCCTTTGTAGGACCACGGATGAGCCTTGAGACCTTTATTTTTGGTGAAATAAACCAGACACACAAGCTTAAACATCGAATGGTTTCTCCTGAAATCCAAAATAGAAGGAAGAGCAAAATAAAAGAGAGGTGACAGGAAGCAGGGAGAGGGATCTTTGTCAAATGCACTGAGAGATGACAGATGGGGGAAAGGAGCAGGGAGAGAGGGCTTCAAGAGAACTGAGACCTGTGGTGTCTCTGCCAACTTCACACAGGGAATGGGGTCAGAACGGCCGACACGTGCCGACCAAAAATTTAAAAGCGAAAGCCCTGCTTACTTGCCCTGCTCCTCCCCGACCTTTCTCTCTCTCCTTAAGAGAGTTTTAGGTTTACAACCAAACTGAATGGGAAATACAAAAAGGCAACACTTTGAACAGATTCTTTTCCCTTGCATTTACCTGTCAGACATATTTTATTATAATAACTTGCTTTCATTATGCTTTTCCATTACTAAGTTATCTTGCAGGGTCTGTTTCAGTTTGAGTTTTACGCTGACAATCACGAGGCCTGTCACAGTGAGGTTTCCATATATGACAGCTAGTGAGTCCATCTGTTTTGCTAGGGGTAGGTTAGGCTAGGTTTCGTACAAGCTCTTGACAGGTTTTGTCTCTCCAGTGCGCGGAAACTCAAATCCACGTGGCTTCTATCTTTGGTGCTGCCACTATCACCATGGCACCCAAGTTTGGCAGCTGATAGAAGCGGGGGAGTACATAATGGGGTGTGAGGTTCTGTGGCCAGGGAGAGCAGTGGCGTCCTGGGCCTCTGTCCACGTTCACTGGCCGGAAAGTGACCACATGGACCGGGCTTTAGCCACCGAGCATCCGGGAAATGCAGTTTTCCTGTGTGTGCTAAGGTACAATGTGGCTTGATCAACATCTCACTGATGCGGGCCACTGGGTAGAAGGTAAACACAACGAGAGTGCGTCCATTTGTCCGACACAATCTTTCCTTTCAGTGGTGTTGTGCTTTGCACTTGCGATCCACAGTCACTCTTCTGATTTGAACATTTTTATAAGAGAAGGAATAATTCTTCTTGAGAACTTGTCTCCCCTTTTCCCTCGGAACGTCTACAATTAAAAATCAGTATAGTCTTGCTTCCTCCTTTTTGGAATACTTTCATATTATTTTAACAAGGTTTCCTCTGGAGACTTTGTTTAGATTATAAAATAATAAAGAGTTATTGTCCATCTGCCAACGCTTTAATTAGTGAAGTCTAGAAGATCAGAATTCTGAGACCACGGGATGGAAATTTATTTAATTTCCCCAGTGTGACTCAGATGATTTCGGCACCGTTCGCTTCGGAGAGTTTTAACCTCACTCTGGATGCCTTTTCTTCGGGCGGTGGAAATCTGAGCCCTGTTGCGTGGCGGCTCTGAACCCTGCACGCTGAGAAGCTCGTGGGCAGCTGGCACACGAATGAGATTTCCTAGGCGCCTTCTGCGGGGGACCTGGGATTCCTCGAATCCCAACGACATTTTTCCTGGTGATCTCTGGGCCCAAATTCAAGAGCCCTGTTTAAGTAGAGGCGCAGAAACGGTGCAGGGTTTTGGAAAAGGACGAGGATCGAAGGGAAAGCGCTGGAGCCGCGTGAGGCCTACAGAGTGTATCGCAAGGAGCTTTGACTGTACTGGGTCTGCCAGTGACGGGTAAAGCGCTGTCGCTGTCCAGCGGCTCCAGGAAATCGCTTTACCTCGTCGCTATGACAACTAAAGGAATATCAGCCCAAGTGCAAGGCTGTGTCTACTGTGTTTTCTGCTGTATCTTTGTGTATAAGCACGTGACCAGATGAATTATTCCTACTCATTTTTCAATGAATATTTCTGGGTTATTTCTATTTCTAAAAATAATTGCTCTTAATTCGGATGCTCACCCATGAACTCCGAGAGCGTCTTCCTGCCACTAACGTCAGGTGGGAGCGGCGGGAGAACAGCGTGTGGACTCTAGACATCTAGAAACGTGACCTTTAGGCACGTGTACTTGGTTCATAGCTGTACTGTGCGGTCAACAGACAAAAGACACAGATTCTCACGAAGGATGGAAGGGGTTTTGTCCCTGGTCATATTCTCTCTGCAGCTTTTTGATCATAGTTATTGATTTTCCTGTCAGATTATTATTCCTTGAGGATAGAGCTCATGTCCCAGGGGCTGACCTAATACTGCGTATGCTGGATGGATTGGAATTCAGTGTGGCAGTTGAGAAAATATGTTGTGGAGTTGGGAAGATCTGGGTTTGAATCTTGCCTATCTCGGTAGATCGTTAGCTGTATGCCTTAGCACAACGTATGCGTAACCAGTTCTACCCCTCAGTTACCACAGCTGGGAGATATTCTCTGCCATGTTGTAGCAGTGCTATATCTCAGCTCTGATGATTTTATGGCTACTCCTTTCTAAAATTTACAGGAAACGTGGGTAATCACTACTGCGCTGCAGACAGCCACATTGAGGTAGGTGAGGATCTCACGTTTGGTCTAAGCAACATCCTATGGGCTCACAGAAGGAGTTGTGCATTGCAGTGATTTAGAGTACAACAAAGGGAAAGCTGTGATTTTTCACGGCATCTTCCAAGGGCCTCTATGATCAAACTGACTTTACTGAAATTAGCTGTATATTGTACACATATTTTTGCCTACTATTTTTTGAGAGCTGGTTTATGAAGGAAAAACATTTCAATTCTCTGAAAAGATCATTCATATATTCTCTCCTTTTTCTGTTTGTCTTTTTCAGGGTGAATTTTCTTTATTTATGTGAACCCAAACAATCTCAATGAACTGAATGCACCAGCATATTGTGAGGATTTCAACTGCCATGTATTAAGCCAGATATTTTAAAAATTACAAACTTATAAAACCATACCACTCTGGTCACTATATGTTTTTGGTTTGGACATAGAGTTATACAATTTATTATCCTTTTATTTACATTAACATGTAATGGGTTTATTATCATTATCTCATTTAGGTTTATTTCTGACATGAAAAACATTGCTAGATATAACTCACATGAAATCTTTTAGAGGTATTCAATAATACAGAGTCCACCAAAAATATATACACACTTCAGGGAAAGCAACATTGTATACTGTTTTGATGGATGCTGTTACCCTCTTGTGAGGGACCCTAGGGGATGCAGTGTGTCACCAAAAACCGCTGCCCTGCCGGTCCTTACAGGAAAAATTGAAGATGCATGTGCAGCAACTTCAACCTCCACGGCCACCCAAGCAGCAGTTAGCCTAACTAATAAATGTCTGGAAGCTCATGACCACCACTTTGAGACCCTCTGGTAATAGTCACAAAAGTCATCATTTATGATTATAAATGCATATAGTTACTTGGCTGTCTCCTCATGAGGTTATAAGCTTTACTCTGGCAGGCTCTGTATGTGTGTATATGCTTTACTTAAGTATACACTTTATTTTCATTTTAATAACATGTATTTATTTTTATATAAAATTTAATTTACTTTAAAATTATTTTTTGTTTTTTGACACCTTTAATGGAGAGATGTTGCAAATCCTTTATAATTGTTACCTCACTTAATGTTAAGAACAAATTGTTTTCATTTTATAGATGAGAAAAGCAAGCTTTAAAGAGTTTAAATTCACTTCTCTTGGTCACACACTGGTGAATTATAGACTTGGGATTCATTCCTATGCTATTCCATTTTTTTTTTCAGTCTCTTAACCATTAGTAAATTCACCTAACACATTACCTGTCCCACAGTTGTGTTTCTCCTAACATCTAGCTCAGTGCCAGTCTCCTAGGAACAGTCGTATATGTTTTAAATGAATAAATATACTGATGGTCAGGTGTAGAAATAAGGTCTGCACGAATCCTGTGATTTTAGGGTAATCAATAAGCTTTTCCTCTCAATACAGTTGTTTACTAAATGGGACAGTATTGAAAAGTGATGGTTTTATTAGTTATGACAGACAACGAGGGTGTCTCACTTTTAGAGAGTTCAGTCTGTAGTTGTTGGTCTTCAGGGCAGAAACGTCATGGCTGTGGAAGCCACTCAGCCCATGGTGGCTGAAGGAAGCCAGGCAAGGGACAGGGCCAGAGCGGGAGGGCTGGGACCACACAGAAGGCCCAAGGTCACCCCCATGTCCCCCGGAAGCACGTGTTACTCTTCTCCACCCAGCCCTGCTGAAATCATGATGAATGGTCACAATGGTCAACCTACTGAGGCCTGAATTTTGAGATCTTTTTGTAACCATTGTCTTGATCATTTTTATCTTGAACTGCCACCATTTCAGAGTGCTTACTTCAGGCTATTGTTCATGTCGGTTTCTTTTTATATCAAATTAGTGAATAAGACTCATGTGCCAAACGTTTTCTAGATCAACTGGATCATCTGTGTACGTGATGACTGATCTCTCCCATCCTCAGTTCGGAATGGTAACGAGCGTTATGATTGGTCCCCCGGCACGGGAACAGCGCTGGAGGAGCCTCTGTCTTTTCACAGCACATCCCCCGGGGGCGCAAATCCAGTAGAATAGCCTAGTGTCACCAGCCCTGGGAAGAGGGGTTCTGTGAGCAGAAGGCACTTGTACACTAAGGTAATGTGGCCCAACCTGGACTCCAGTGGAAAGCCAGTGGAAGTGCCTATTCGCCGGCATGAGGATAAGTACTATATTTAATTACCAAAGCGAGAAAAAGGTCAGTAAAGCACAATATTAAAAAAAGTTAAAATAACTATTAATGGGAGCAAACCAGAGCACAAGTCTACTTCATGAAACAGCATAAAGTTCTTTTATTTTAGGATTGTATTTCATGGAGAAAGAAGAGTCCCCAGATAGCTCTGCTGAAGATTTATTTCTCTTTCGGTAAACAGCCAGTTAGTTGTATATTTGACAGATGATTTTGTTCTTGTAAACTCTGCAGCCATGGCTCCCTGCTTTCTCTCCTATGCTGCCTCAGAAACCATTTTAACACTTAGAGCATGTCAATGTGTGTAAAAATTTAAAGGGTCAATATTTTCATGAATTTAAAGTGTTTTTCTATATTAGTGCATGGTAATGCTTCTTAACAGGGAAGCACAGCTCTATAAATCTTTGGTATTGTGTTGGGCATTTATAATTAATATCTAACCGAAGAACTATCTAATCAAGCACTGCACTGCATCACACAGCCACCAGGCAGATAAAGCCTGAGGGGGACGGAGAGATCACCAGGGGGCCGGCTCCTCTGCTGCAACCAATTCCAGAAGCATCTACTTCTTCAGGAGTCCTCCCGATGAAGGGGGCTGTTTGGTTGCTGCAGATGAGAGATAACTGGTGGAGAGAAAGTTTCTGAGCACCTTTAGAATCCAAAATGCATGCAGCCAGCTTTAAGTTCGTGATTGGACAGCAATGAAATGTAGCTTTAGAAAATTCTTTTTATCGATCTACCTATATATCGTGTGCCTATGCATCTCATCTGTCTTTACCATTCAATATATTATGCGTTATATTTCACTCGTTCTCTTTACAAGGAACTTTGGGAGATATGATTTCAAAGTTAATGTCAAGGATGGTAGCATGTTGCTTGAATATTTGGTGTGTTTTCTTGTCACTTTACCCTAATATATGTACACGTGGGCTGCTAGTAATTTTCTAGTAATCCTTGTAAAGAGGACTGGTGGGTGTGTGCAACAGGTTTTAACTCTGTCTCCGCTTTATGTTCAGTTTTTTCCCCTTTACCATTCTTCGTTTATGCAACTGCCTGCAAAAATCTCTGTGGGTCTCACACTCCGCCGCCTCCAGTTCATCTTGTTTGGAAAATCACTGATGTAATATCCTTGTGTGTATGTTCACACTGACCTTTGCTTTATGCTTTAACAGCTGCAGAAGGAAACAAGAGAGGTTGGAGAACAAGTGTTTCTCACAATTTTCATTCCCACCGGAAATTTCCTACATAAGTCTGGCATTACCCGGCTTGTGTTAAATCCACACGTCAACGAGAGGTGGTTTCTGAGTGAGAACGGCTGGGAATGTGGGCAGTTACAACACAGGGGCAGTGGAAACCCAAGTAGCTGTGGGGTGGAGGAACCAGATCAGCAGATTATGAAGTTTAGATATTGCAACAACAGTTTTAACTTTTGGGTTTCAGACTTCCTTTGAACATTGGTGGTGTAATGCTGTCCCACTGAACTGATGAGGGCAGGTATGAAAACAAAGCTACAGAGGGAGTTATGCTATTTAAAATAGCTAGCAGCCAACTAAGTTCAGAACCCAGATTTCCTATTTCATGATCCTATGCAGCTTCTAGGAAAGTGCTTTGTTAATAAATGGCCTTGGCAACTGACCAGGGAGTTAACAAAAATTCCACTTACTGCAATCTTTTTCATACAAATATTTAACTTTGACAAGAATGCTAGCATTAACATTTATTTAAATAAAAACAAATCTGCCTATCTAGCATCTGCAATCCCAGTGGGAGGAACCTGTGTCATGGTACCGATGCGGGTCCAGGACAGCTCTTCTTTTTTTTCCTAGCTCAATTTTAAGGGTATGCTTTAACAGAATCACCAAGACTTATCTTTTGTTTTTCTTAGCAAAAAATATTTTTATAATGTGTATTTACTACCCAAAATTTTACCCTCCCTGTCAACCCAGAACCCTGGATAGCTTAGGCTGAACCCTTCTTGGACTGAGGTAGGTTGTAACAAAAATCTTCCAAAGGAAGTTGCAGCTCTCCTTTGCCTACCACAGTCCTCTCCTGCTTCGGCTTCTGGGTCCAAGGGAAGCAGGTCATGTTCCATAACTTCCTGGTTTGTTTTACCACTGATATTATAACAAAGTACCGCAAAAGCAGCAGCTTGAAAAACATCCAAAAATGTGCTCTCTGGAAGTCTGGGGATAAAAAGCCCAGAGTCAATGTCACTGAACCAAAATCAAGATGTATGAGAGCTTGTGTTTCTTCCCATCCTTGCCAGTATTTTAAAATGATTTTTTCACAACAGTCATTTTAACAGGGCTGGGATGAAACCAGCGCACCTAAGAGGTAAGCGTATCCATGTTCATTGTGGCCCCATTACAGTTGTTATGGGATCGACCTAGGTACCATCAATAGACGAATGCATACAGAAAACATGGTATATATACACAGGGGAACATTATTGAACCACAGATAATAACAAAACTCTGTCAATTTTCAACAAAATGGATGAAACTGGAGGATGTTAGGATAGCTAAGTTAAATAAATGAGGCACAGAAACAAAAATACTGCAAATGTCCTCTAAGAAGTGGAAGTTAAAAAATATGTTAACCTGAAAGTAAAATGGCGATTAGTAGAGGTTGGGAAAGGCAGGTTGTGTAGAGGGAGGTCGCATTTGAATGGTGCGTGCTGTACACAGATACTGAAATATCACAATAAATCCCCTTAATGTGTACACTGAATGCACACCCTTCAAAAACCAGAATATTAAGAAAGGAGAAAGGAAAAGGGAAAAAATCTCAAGGAGGATGTAGCCCTGGACAAGTGTGGTGTAGAGGGAAGAGCTAACCATCCTTCAGTGTTGCAGAATAAGGTTGGCTCTTGTCAGTAAATTTCCTTTAATTCAATTAATTTTTGATGAGCCCTCTCAGCTTGCCCTAATTCAACCCACTAGGCTGTGTTCCCAACCTTCTAGCATTTGGACTGCTTTTTTTTAGGATGACGAAACCTAGTGAGTCACACCCTTGAAGGGTGCAGAGAGGCTGTGTGCTTGGCTTAATGATTTCTGTAATAGAGTTCAAATCATGCAGAGTTACCATGGTGATATCCGTCCATATTGGGTGTGGCTGTAGGACTGCAGCAAGCCAAGGAAGACAGTCAATAATCATAGAAGAGAGACTGATGACATGGCCCTTGTAAATGATTCCTTTGTTGCCTTGGAAGAGTAAACACAACAACAAACAATCACCAAAAGCAGCATTCTCATCAGATGTTTCCATCAACTGCTTTCATTTTAGAAGTCATCTGTATTTAAAGTGTGTTTAATGTAGAAGTACTCGTGCTCTGTGGGCCTTATTTTCAGAGTACTTTTCATTCAGGCAAAGACTCTATGATTCCAAATGAAAGAATAGCAAAAACTAAAGTGATCTGCCCCTAGAGGTCGTTTCTGAATTCCATGTATAGGTGTCCTCTAATGATTAAAAATTAATAAAAACTTAGAATCATATGCAAATCTCCATTTCACAAAAAAGGAAAAATTGGATGGATAGGTGACATGCACTGTGCTATGCTTAAGGGTGGACTTCTGAGGCCAGCACAGACCTGACTTCCTGCCTATCAAAGAGGAGTGATGCTTGGTTCACCATGCACACACCCTATAGTAAACAGCACGTATGGATCCCATGGGTGAACTGACAGGCTGGGGACCACATATAGTGACAGTGTAAGTCAGGCGGCTGTATGTTCTAATCTCTTCACAGGAAAGACCTCAGAAACCCATAATTATGGGTAAGGAAAATGCCACCCAGGTGGAGGAGTTCATCCTTTTGGGGTTCACAGAAGATGCGGGGCTCCAGCTGGTGCTCTTTTTCATCTTCCTCATCATTTATGTCTTCAGCCTCTTGGGAAATCTCACCTTGATTTCCCTGATCTGCGCCGATTCTCGACTCCACACGCCCATGTACTTCTTTATTGGAAACCTGTCCTGCCTGGACCTCTGGTATTCTTCTGTCTACTCCCCTAAAATCCTAGTGACCTGCATCTCTGAAGACAAAAGCATCTCCTTTGCTGGCTGCCTCGCTCAGTTCTTCTTCTCCGCCGGGCTGGCCTACACTGAGTGCTACCTGCTGGCCGCCATGGCCTATGACCGCTACATGGCCATCTCCAGTCCCCTGCTTTATTCCCAGGCCATGTCCCCATGGCTATGTGCCAGTCTTGTCACTGCTTCATACCTTGGTGGCTTTGTAAACTCCACCATCATCACCAGTGAGACTTTCACCCTGAGCTTCTGTGGCGACAATGTCATCGATGATTTCTTCTGTGACCTGCCTCCGCTGGTCAAGTTGGCCTGTGATATGGAGGAGAGCTACCAGGCGGTGCTGTACTTCATCCTGGCCTCCAACGTCATTGCTCCTGCCACGCTCATCCTGGCCTCCTACCTCTTCATCATCGCCGCAGTCTTGAGGATCCGCTCCGCCCAGGGCCGCCTCAAGGCCTTCTCCACGTGCGGCTCCCACCTGACTGCCGTCACCCTGTACTACGGCTCCATTCTCTTCATCTACTCCCGACCCAGCACCAGCTACGCCCTGGAACGGGACAAAGTGGTGTCGGTGTTCTACACCGTGGTCATCCCCATGTTGAACCCTTTGATCTACAGCTTGAGAAATAAAGATGTCAAAGAGGCCCTGAGGAAAATACTAGTTAGAGCTGAGTTTCCTTAAGTGCAAGTACTGGAATTTCAGAAATAAATAAAGGAAAACAAATGTTCCTTGATGTGGAAATGGTGTGCACTTGCTTTCTTAAAAATTGGTGCTAATGTATTAAATATTTTTAAAAAATAAATGAAACTGGAGCTTTGGAAAGAACTTCTAGCATGCTAATTTAGAACAGGGTTGTTAAAATCTGACAAGTTTGAAAAAAAGCAGATTTGTTCAATTTTGCCCTTGACACTCTTAAGTTGCATGTATCCATAATATTTTAAACTCTAAATGGGAAAATTCTAACTGATGATGGATCATGGGGAGAAAACAGGAAGGCGAACCCAGACAGGGTTAGCGAGGCACATTAAAAACATTGTCTATAAAATCACCTAGAAACAAGATTATTCTTTTCTGGATCTTTTTTAGTGTATATCTGAGGTACATAATAGTTACATCTTGGAGAACTGATTTCTTGATCATTTTCAATCACTTCATGCCTCAATTGTCCCCAATTCCCTTCCCCTTCTGTGAAAAAACTGCCTCCCTGTTTCCTAAAATCTCTCCTTTCTTTTGCTCTTTAATTAGTCTATCTTTTGGGCATTTTATATAAGAGAAACCATATTTTTCTGGTTTCTGCTTCTTGGCTTATATAATACAAGATAAGTTTTCCTCTCCAGTAGATGAAATATGGAACAAATATTACTTAGAGTCACTCTGAACTTTCAATAACAGAGCATTTTCCTTCCAAATCAAAAGGTAGTAGATGGATAGGCAGGTGTAAACAGCCAAGAACACAGAAACAATACATACAGGGAGGCAGAATGAATGAGGCTTCAGAAAACTTTACATGAAAGGGAAGGTTCAGAATGGAAATCTCTACTTGGTGAAGCAGTTATTGATAACAACTAAGGGCCTATAACATTTGTATTTCTTTTTTCAGTTTTACGCATAAATTTAAAATAAGACAATATTTCACCGTGATGTGTCACACTCTAATTTCAGTAGTCTTTTTGCAAGCGAAGCATGAGACTGTTGCAACATGAAAAGGCTCCACTGTTGATAACCGAGTGTGTAGATTTGCAGGGCTTTCCTAGTGCAATATTGCACATGGAGTGGCTTAAATAAGAGAAATATATTTCCCCACAGTTACGGAGGCTGGGTGTCCAAGCTCAGAGTGCTTGTGGAGTTGGCTTTTTATGGTCTTTCTCTGTGACTTGCAGGCGGCTGCCTGGCTGCTGTGTTTCCACGTGCTCTTCCCTCTGTGCCCACACTTCCGTTGTGACACTTTTCCCCTCAAATTCCTCTTGGTAAATGTGCCGGTCCTATGGGATTAGGCCCGCTCCAACTGCCACCTTTTAGTTCGGTCAGATCTTCATAGGCCCGATCTTCAAATATGGCCCCATCCATCACAGGCCCTGGAGTCAGAAGTTTCAGAGGATGGATTGTGCCGAGACGCAATGCAACTTGTAACATCCAGGACAGGTGGGAGATGCCCAGTGGGGGAGACAAAAAAGGGCATTCTGGGAGAGAGAAGAGCACAGATCAAGGAAACAACTATACAATATCTATTTAATAAGATCCTGCTCACTCGATCACGTCCTAGTTAATAAACCATCTATCCCCACACTTCAGGCAAACTCTTAATTGTGTCTTTGGAGACAGAGTATGTGTTTTTTGGCTGCTGTGTGAAAGAGGTCTCAAAGGGCTATCGAGGAAGTATGTATACCAAAGCCAACAAGGCGTGCACCGGAACACCGCAAAAGATGGAGAATGCCACCTCCAAGAGCTAGTCCTGCTGACCACGGTGAGCACTTGGGACCAAGGGCAGCCGAGAGGTTTGGCCTTCCTGTGACTGCAGCTGTGCTTAGATGGGGCGAGCAGTGTGGCCTGGCACCCAGGCAATCACTGTCATATTTCCATGCCAACACACACACACACACACACACACACACACACACACACACACACAGGCATTCTACTCTAACCCTGATTCCACCCAATGGTATAATTTTCTCCCCTAATGTACAACTTGAATTTGAGTCTGTTATTTGTGCTGAAAGATCACATATTCAATAATAGTGAACAAATCGAGTATGGAGGTGAGTCCTCTCTGCCCTCAGTGGCTGTGCTACTCTCCTCGTCGCATTCTGTGTTCAAGGCCATGAAGCTTGTCTTTAGATGCCAGGAAAACACATTCTTTGCACTGAGCTTTTTCTGTGCCAGTGAAGGCAGCAGGGAAGAGAGACTTTCCCTGAGGACAGTGCTTTCTGTGTGCAATGGCTTAGTGTGATTGGTTGTGACATTTTCTGTGCCTTTTATCTCACATTCACATATAATCAACAATTTGTTATAAATTCAAGGTGTATGTGAGGTCTTTTATTTATTCAGCTTTCTTATTACATTGCAGGATACTGTGTCGGGAAAGTGCACTTTTTTCCCCAATAATTTTAAGCTAGGTGAGAAGTAGACTATGTTAGGAAAAACAGGTCCAAGATATATATGTAATTAATTAATTAGTCTCTAAATATGTACTGAATGCTGCTAAGTTCCTAGAGGATGGTTCTGATGCTGGAATACAGCAGTAAATAAACAGACACATCTTTTTTCTTGAGGATACTACATTAAATATGCATTAAATTTGAAAAAAAAAGAGTCAGAACATGGCGCAAATTAGAACGCAAGGGGTAGACATGCAGAGTAAGGGAACAGGATACGTGGAGCATCCAATGGGTGAGGATTATTGGTAAAAAGTGGGCACAGAGTGTTTTTTTTTTAAAGTGAATGTTATGGGACCTAAAATAACATATAAAAAGGACTAAGAGGAGCTGAAACATGCAAGCATCTGCAGAATATTCCTTCAAGATGAAGGAGTAGACTGGGAAGGAAATTGTTTTGATGTCAGACAGAAATGCACATTTGAGCAGGTGGGAAAGTCACCGGCACTGGAGCACAGAGGAGGAGGGGGAGAGCAGGGCAGGTTTTAGGAGATGCATTGTGGGGTGAGCTCAACTGTGGACAACTGTGAGGCCACTGGTCTGTGTGTGTGTGTGTGTGTGTGTGTGTGTGTGTGTGTGTGTGTGTGTAATAATGTAGGCATCTTTACCAGGTTGTAAGTACAAGAGTTACCTAGCTCACATTACTTCATGGATGTACTGGACCATGCTGGATACTTTATCCAGAATGTACTGGAGGGCAGAAGGGTGTAGACCAGGTAGGAGGCTATTGCCATCCTCTTTGTAAAGAGTAACGGTGGCTTGGGCCATGGTGGTAGCCGTAGAAGTGAGAAAACTTGGGGAACATTTGAAGGAAGGGAAATTAGGGTTTGGATTTGAAAGAAACAAAAGTATGCAGTAGAGAATGGGAATAAATTGATTCAAAATATTTGAATTCAGAAAAAAGGTGAGAATTTCATGAACTGATATGGAGAAGGAACAGATCAAATTTGAAAGTGAAGATGAAGAATGTAGCTCTGAGCATACTAAGTTTAAATAGTTACGTCTGGTCTTCATCTCTTATTAGAAATGCTAGCATTAGAAAGAAACCGAAGCATCTTCTATGAGATAATATTTTGAAAAATCTCAGAATCATAAGCAGAAAATGCACTGATAAATTCCTGAGAGTATGTGAATCCTCTAAAGTTTTGTGTGCTTATTATTATGTGATTGTACATATTGGGAGAGTTATGTTTTATTAGTTCCCGGAAAGCTAGGTAACTGCTTAAATTTGTCATTAGTTATATTCACGTGAAGAAATTAAGGAATTAATTAATGGTTAGACAATGGATTCATTTCTTTTGAGGGAAACAAGAATGAGAATGCAAATCTTGAAAAGAAAACATGAATACAGCTGTCTTTGCCTCATCCCACGTATCTTTGGGTATAAAGGTATAAAGGGATTTTTAGCCTGCTATGACACATTTCATACAATTGATGAGGTCCTGTATAGCTTCCCGATGCTTCGTTTCAGAGATGTTAATTACTTTGGATCATAGTTGATTTCTGCCAGGAAAGGGATTAACCATTGTTTTGGAAATGTGTTCCTGAGAAGGGAGGATGCCTTTCCTAATTCACACGTGTGATTGGTGTCAGGTCTTTGCAACAGTTGCACAACCTTTCAGTATCAGGCCAGTGAGCTTTGCACTTCTAACCCGGTCATATTTTTGCATTATGGTAGTGGGTGACATAAATGTTAAATTTAAGAGATTTTAATAATTTGCATGATACTGCTGTTCTGGCTTCAATTATTTATTTGTAGAAACTTGCCTGTATTTATTTTTTCATAAACTCAGAATTTATAAATGAAATTTTCCTCTGAATTAAATGGGCTAGCATTTCCTAGCTGTATTATCTGTGCACTATATTATGGGTGCACTTTACCTATACAATGTTGGAATGTTTTTACCATGTGCATGTGAGGACATGCAGGTTCAGAGGTTAACATGCCTTTCTAAGATTACAGAGGAGTCAAATAATGTACTGAGCTTGAACAACACTTTCATTTTACTATGACCATCTTGTTTTGTTTTGCCTCCTTATATTTATTTTTTAAATTTAAATTTTAATGGATATAAATGTGTATATACATATATATGTATATGTATATGTATATGTATATATATATATATATATATCACTCAAAGAGTACACATGTATGGGCTACCATGTCATGTTTCTATACATGAATATAGTATGTAATGTGTACATTATATCAATATCAAATATTTGTAATTTCTTTACAGGAGAACATTGAAGGTCCTTTCTTTTGGCCTTTTGAACTATACAGTAGATTTTCATTATCTGTAGTCACCCCTTTATGTAATTGCATGGCTGATCTTATTCTTTTCTATCTGTTACTTAGTTTGTAAGTACACACCCATAAGTACACAGTCTCAATTCCAATGCTAGGTCTGTTGTTGAACAGCTCAGTGACTTTGCTTACTGGGCCTCTGTTTCACTTTCATTCACTGTATTATGAGTCCATAATGCCCAGTCCTCCATTATAAAGTTGTAATGAGAATTAAGTGGGTTAATTAAATATGGGGTATAGCAGGGAAACTGGCTGATGACCAGAAATGTCTGTTTTTTTCTACTTGTACTAATAGTAGGAAGCTTAGTATAGTATATTGTCATACACAACTTCACACAAAAATTCACAACTTATGGAAGGATACTGCAATTTTTTGAGTGCCCATTATAAATCAAAGTCAGGAAGAGGGTTTTCAAATATCTACTCTTCATTCAATCACACAAGTTGTCAGGAAATTTTTAGTCATTCATTTTTCTCATCAGTTTTATGAGAACAAAGGACTTCCTACAGTACAGCTAATAAGTGGATTCCATAGTTTAAAAATCAGTTTTACCCTAACTCTCATAGTCTTTCTGCATTCCAGTCTGAAGTTCTATAGCTCTACATAATAATAAATACATCCCAAGCTTCTTGGTAATTGTTGATTAACTAATATACTTGCTTTCTTGTTTCAATAGAAAAATTAGTGCTATTTTTCCTCCCATGGTGATAATCAAGTTTTTCTCTGTGGACATGGAACTGGGAAATCGCACGGTCCTGACTGAGTTCATCTTGGTAGGGATCTCAGCAGACCCCCGCTGGCAGAAGATCCTGTTTGGAATAATTCTCGTCATCTATTTGGCAACCCTGACGGGGAACTTGACCCTGGTTGTCCTGATCCGGATCGACTCCCGGCTGCACACACCTATGTACTTCTTCATTGGTGGGCTGTCTTTTTTGGACTTCTGGTATACCTCCGTGTACACCCCCAAAATTCTGGCCAATTGTGTTTCCCAAGACAAACGCATATCCTTGGCAGGATGTGGGGCTCAGTTGTTCTTCTCCTGTGTTGTGGCCTACACTGAGTGCTACCTGTTAGCAGCCATGGCCTATGACCGCTATGTGGCAGTTTGTAGCCCACTGCTGTATTCAGGTATCATGTCCACCTCTCTCTGCACTGGGCTTGTCGCTGGCTGCTACACAGGAGGGTTTCTGAATGCCATAGCCCACACTGCCAACACTTTCCGGCTGCGTTTCTGTGGTAAAAATATTATTGACCACTTTTTCTGTGATGCTCCACCTTTAGTAAAAATGTCCTGTACAGACACTCGAGTCTATGAGAAAGTCCTCCTAGGGGTGGTGGGCTTCACTGTCCTCTCCTGTCTTCTCGTCATCCTTGTTTCCTATTTCAACATCCTCTTGGATATCCTGAGGATCCGCTCAGCCTCAGGGAGGCACAAGGCTTTCTCCACCTGTGCTTCCCACCTGGTCTCAGTCATGTTCTTCTTTGGATCCTTGCTCTTCATGTATTCAAGGCCAAGTTCCAGCTACTCCCTGGAGAAGGACAAAATGGCTGCCTTATTCTACACTGTGGTCAACCCACTGCTCAATCCTCTCATCTACAGCCTGAGAAACAAAGATGTCAAGGAAGCCTTCAGGAAGGCCACACAGACCGTACGACCGCAGGCATGAAGGTCATTGTTTCTTGCACAATGCTGTTATTATATTTCCCAAGTAATGTGTGCTGTAAACATGTTTGTACACATTTCTGTATTTCATTTAGATTTAGCAAGTTGTATTTTAAAAAAGAAATATTGCTGTTATTTGTTGTGACATGAACTCCTATAGTATTGGGGTGTTTGATGTGCTGCAATATGTTATTTTGCTTCTTTGCAGTACAAGATTTCATAAATTTCATTCTGGTGGTTGTCATTGGGAGATCGTGGGAGAAAAAGAATAAAGTGTATAGTTTCAAAGATGTGCTTATAGTTGGACAGTGATGCTTGGTGAGATTTATTGGGTAGGATTTGGAATCATGAAATGCCTCAACATTTTCTTCAGGTGTTAGATACTTACTTTTAGTAAGACGTTTCCTCTACAGTCTTCATGATGTTCCAATCACTATATGTACATAGGAGCTACCTTTGTAAATGTGCGTCTCCCAAATCACTGTGGTATTAGGCGAGGTGTTTAGAAGTTGATTAGATTGCAAAGCAACAACCAGTAATAAGAACAATTACGTTTCAAGTCCATGGAATATATATCTTCTTAGGATTGCACACCACCCCAAAGAATATTCTTTGCTAGGGCGAATATGTCCTCCTGGTATTCTCTCTTGGGCCAGCAGCAGTATAACCCCTAGTAGGGGAAACAACAGCATTCAATTAAATGAAACAAATTGTGAATAAGAGAAAACATTGCATTACGGGTTTCCCATGTTCCCTCTGCACTTTGTTTTGCACTGATCAAGCGACACAGAAAGTCTCAACTATGATGGCTCTGCCACTGCATGTGTTTCCCTGTGGGCTTAAACCAAGCCAAGGCCTTAGATATCACCAGGCACTGGAAACCTAACATTGTACAGACTGTGGTAAAAAAATCCAGTGTATTGCCAAATACATACGAACCAGCCCTGGCCCTAGGCCTAATTCCTTAAGGTCTCACTTAAACTACATAGGTTTCCCCCCACCACAGTGCAGGGCACAACTAGGCTGAACATCTCTTGTCTTGCTGTCCCTTGTGAGGACATGCTGCAAACTGAATAAATCCCCCTAATAAATTCTGTGGGCTGTTGTTCACCTTGGCATTTAGCAAATGCTGGAATCCCAGTTGGCCCTGTCTAGGACGGTTTATAGTACTGCCCCGGGGGCACTTCTCCACTGTGGTGTTTGAGGAATCTCCCCTGCCTGCTCAAGTGGAAGGGACATATTCTAGAGCCACGCTAGCGTTTTAAAAAATCAGAATATTTTAATTATGAAAAAAGTCCTTAGATCTTAATTTTCAAAATATAACAGAGGTCTGATGCTTTATACAATGCCTCTATGAGAGTGCAAGGGAAGGATTATTAGTGAAGTTTTACAAGTGAAGAGTTTTCAGCTCAAAGTTTAGAACGTTGTTATTGAAAGACTATTGCAATTAATGAGCAGAGAATGCTAACAAAATTCATTAAAATAAAATAGGACAAATAGTAGACACTTTACCAGTTGTTTTCTGCTCCAAATGTCTCCTACTTTTTATTTGTATATATACAAATAAAAGTACAAGTGCCCTCTTCATTTCTACCAAAAATATCTTGGTAACCCTTATTTATCTATGATAGAGGAGACCTAGCGGTACTTGATGATAGTACTTTAGGTAAACTTTTCAAATGTTAACAACCTGTAATTTCATCACATCCTCTTGTTAATCATTATGTGGAAAGAATGAATGGGTCGATATTTAGAGAACAAATTTAATACTTCAGGATGCCGAAAGTGTATTTTTTATTTTGCATTAAACCCAGAATTGCTTTTTAAAAACTATATTAATATTAAAGTGAATTTGCAGAGTGTGGCAGAGATGATACTTCAATCATTAGCCAAAACACAGAAACTTATACAAAGGAAATACTGCGGTTGAATTTCGCTTAACAGAAATTCATTTTTGAAAATAAAGATACCCACCCTTCTCACGAATAGTGTGTTATCACTTAGCAATGATGGCTGGAATGCATGGAATTCAAACACCAGCCTGTGCTAAATTAAAGAGTTTTTTCAGGGCTTCTTTCACGTCCTTATTCCTCAGACTGTAGATCATGGGGTTCAGCATGGGGAACAGCACGGTATAAAAGGTGGAAACCATCTTGTCCCTCTCAAGGGAGTAGCTGGAACTGGGGCGAGAGTAGACGTAGAGGATGGAGCCGTAGTACAGGGTGACGGAGATGAGGTGGGAGGAGCACGTGGAGAAGGCCTTGAGGCGGCCCTGGGCGGAGCGGATCCTCAAGACGGCGGCGATGATGAAGAGGTAGGAGGCCAGGATGAGCAGGGTGGGGGCGATGACGTTGGAGGCCAACAGGAAGTACAAAACGCATTGGTAGCTGTCCGTCACATCACACGCTAACTTTACCAGGGGTGGGACATCGCAGAAAAAGTCATCAATGACATTGTCTCCACAGAAATCCAGTGTGAACGTGTTGCTGGTTAAGATAACCGCATTGACGAACCCCCCAGTGTAGGAGTACACAACCAGACAGATGCACAGTCTCCTTGTCATGGCCTGGGCATAAAGCAGGGGGCTGGAGATGGCCACGTAGCGGTCATAGGCCATGGCGGCCAGCAGGTAGCACTCAGTGTAGGCCAGCCCGGCTGAGAAGAAGAACTGAGCGAGGCAGCCAGCAAAGGAGATGCTTTTGTCTTCAGAGATGCAGGTCACTAGGATCTTCGGGGTGTAGACAGAAGAATACCAGAGGTCCAGGAAAGACAGATTTCCGATGAAAAAGTACATGGGAGTGTGCAGCCGGGCGTCACTGCAGATCAGCACCATGAGGGTGCTGTTTCCTAGCAAGGTCGCAGAGTACACCCCAAGGAAGAGGGCGAAGAGCACCCGCTGCGTCACGGGGTCCGATGTGAAGCCCAGCAGGATGAACTCGGTCACCGTGTGATTGCCCCTTGCCATGGCTCACAGAGTCCTCCTGGGGATGGAGAGGAGAAGAGTTTTATTGCTTCATCCAGGATTAGGACGGCACACTCTGCGCTAGGCCCTGAGATGCATAGCTAAGGCTAGAGGGGAATCCTGCACGCTGTGGGTGGAGTGCGGGATTTCCCTGTACTTGAGTGTTCATTACAGTGGCACTCACTTAATATCAGCCCGTTATTTTCAAGCCTCTGGGAGTTTTGTCTCTTATTTCAAGGCGTGTAGCAAGACTCTTGATTTTTTTTGTGTGTGTGTGTTTGTAGAATACATTGATTTTATATTCAAATAATTTTAAAGATCTCTTTCAGAGCCCAAATATCTTTCAAGACTTGATGTAGGTAGAAGGACATTTTCTTTTCCACGCATTCGAATGTTCTGTGCCTACACAGTATTTTCATCCTCCTGTACTGTGTATTGTGTAGCCAGTGGGGGGTCCTGACTTTTGTGACAATTAAATATCCAAACACCCAGCTGAATGATGTTCTACGAGGCTGTTCACATGGGTTAAAGCGTTCTGCTCCAAGCTTTAAATTTCACTTCGTGAATATGCACAGATTCTTCCAGAAATTATGTGAAAAAATGGAAAATGGTTTTAGAATATCACTAAGTGGTCAAAATCCCTGTAGTGATATTACTTCTATTTACTTTTCCCACTAGGATGTAAACTCCATGCCTAGCAATTTTTGTTCATTTTTTTGCATGTTACATGTCTAATTTATAGAACAGTGCGTAGTATAGAGCAGATGCACCATTAATGATTTCTGATGAGGGAAGGGGTGAGAACCTTGATTCAGAAGGGAAATGAATTGGTAGGACTGATATTCTGAGTGGCTCAGAAGGTATTGTTTTACCCCAAAACCATCATAGAATTTTGTTCAATAACCTACATGCATTTCCTGGCCCCATGAGGTTGTTTCTGTTCTTTGCAGAGTCCTATAGGAAAAACAAAAATGAAAACAAGGAACTAGTCCACAAAATATAATCAGCTCCACCAAAAAAGTGGAGAAAGTGTTTACAGTTTGCAATAGACCGTCACTGTGTCGTGATGGAAGGGGTCGAAAGGAGCACACCTTGCAAATCAGAGCTGCCCGTGCAGTCCAGGGAGAGCTAAAAAGCTTTTGTCTTTTAGGCAGTTAACGTGTCGAAATGTAAAACCTCCACTGCTTCCAACATAACATAAGAATGATTTTGGTTTCCTTAGTGTTACTGTGAAAGAATCAACTCTACGAAAGACCAAGCACAGTGACTGGCTGGTTATTAACCCTGGAGTAGCAGGTGACTCTCAAATTTTCTTTTCTAGTAAAATCAGCTGACCAGAGTTTCTAGTTTAGCACACTGTAGGGACCCCCTAGGACTTGTTTTCATGAAGCGAAGACCAGCATTTGCAATTCAGCCTTGCTATAGATCACAGTGAGAAAGGCTGTAATGAATATCCGTTCTATTATTATTCACATTAATTCTTACAGGGTTAAAATGTTGTTGACTCAGGAGTTAGCACATGTAAAAGTGCTTTGCAACATAAATTTCAAAAGATGAGCTGCAAACAGATCTATGTTTCCGTCCTGATGTTGACAATTTCAATAGTTGTAACCTTGGGGCACTCATTTAAATCCCTCTGCTCTTAATTTTCTTATCTATTTAATGAGCTAACAATGACTTCCTTTTGTGATTGCAGGAAAGTTTAAAGGAGACATTATACTTAACATACTTAGTACAGTATCAGATAAAAGTCTGTCCCAGGAAAATACTCATGTTGCACAGTGAAAAGCAACGGCATTGCCTTTTCATGGAATTTCTGCTTAATGCCAGTCCTTGACCCCTTGACTTTCTTCCTTTGTTTTATCAACATCCGTCTTTCCTTCCCAGACACCACCACCTTTGCACAACACCTGCCACGGAAGCCTATGGTGCCTCTCTGTCCCTTTTGCTCTGTCCTGCTCCTGTTCAAGAGTTTTGCTCTTAAGGTCTATCATTTTAGCCAGATGATTAACTTTATTGGGTCATGGTGCCTTTGAGATTCTTATAAAAGCTGTGTAAATTTTCACCTTTAAAAGTGCTTGGATTAGCTTAGACCGCACACACGGAGAGACAGGGTGTGGGTTTCCTTGTTTGCCTTGATATCCTTGATGCCCGCTGGGAACAACACTGAGACCTCTGTTTGTTGATGAGAATGAGAAAATCAAGATAGCTGGTGGGATATGTTAACCAGTCAACATGTGCACCTTCCTAACATGTATAAGCTAAAAAGGAATTTTCCACGGAAAGTGTTAAGATGCTTTTTTCTCTTTCAGAAATGAGCTTCATTGTCAGAGGTCTTCTAAGAAGCTCCCTATGCCCCCTACTTTCTTAAAGAATGGCAAACTGAAGCAATTTTACACTTTTCTTGATATCTATTGTCCCTTATGCTACTAATATCTACTTTTTCATTTTCCTGCCACAAATTTACTTGAGATGTTATCAAAGGTTTTTTCCTCCAGTTAGTGGCTACTGGTTGTTGCTTGTTTGTTTTAAAATGTAGATTATTTTCTCCTTGTGCTAATTTCTTGCTTTTTGTCACGGATAGTATGATGTCCTATATATGAACTCTCAGTATTTTCAGAAATTAAAATAAGATGATAAAGGTATTTCAAAAAATGCCCTTTATTTAGTATTTATCACATATTAGTATGTGCAAGGCTAGCAGACTGATTGTGAGGAACAAATCAATTTTCTATCTTTAGCATAGGAATGAAGCAACTTACCTAATATTTCCAAGAAAAACATCTTCTCCACAGAGTTCAAACCTGCTTGGCAGAGAATCTTTTATATCATTTTCTGGATTCCCAGGGTTATAGACTGCTAAAACCCCTCAGGATTTAACAGTTTGGGGAGTCACTAACAGGACAATTAAACAAAATTGTGTGTTGATAAGTCAGGTACTGTTAAATAAATGGAGAAAAGAATCTGGGGACTATTTCCCTGATCAAAAATAAATAATCAGTATAGTTTCTCTGGTGTGATAAAGTACAAGTGTAAATAAGGGTCAAAATGTATAACTGATATTTTATAATAGGAAGAAAAGGTCCAAAGGTGTTGGGTAAATGGGAGGGGAAGGGGAAAGGTAAAAAGGGAAGAGAAAAAAATAAGAGAAAAAGGAAAAAATGGAAACAAAGTCTTTATAAACAGGGAAGAGTTGGGGGGGCTATGGGAATGGGGAAAAATGAGAGCCAAGACCTGTCATGTAAAGGTACAAGATCCCCAAATGAATGCAACTGTATTGTATATCTAAAATGCACGAATAAAAGTATATATAAAAATAAGTCATAAATTACATTTTCATTCTGTCTTCTGTAGAAGCTAAATTAAAGAATGTATATAGAAATAACACTCTTTGCATGTATACATCTGGGTATTGGAGCACATATGTCTGTCCATACTGATATTTCTGCAACATGTTGGTATCATTTAAGTCTCCAAATCCATTCTACAGCCTTCAAACCTCCTTTTTGCTCCAGAATTCTCTGCCGTCTGCACTATGTTGGTGAGCTCCTCTGTTCTGTCCACTTCTGAGCATAGCCAGTGTCAGGAGGAGAGTGAGCACAGCTTCCTTGCCACAGTGGCAGGGTGGCTGCATCTTGGCACCAGTCCAGGACTCCTACCAGGTCACCCACCCTCTTTCTGATCCCCTCCTGTAGAGCCCATGGCTTCTCCCACTCCTTGTACCTTCAGAGAAGAGAGCTTATTAGTCTTGGGATTGTCACACAATTCTTGTGCATTCACAACACCACACACACCACAGTGTAGTAGTCTGTGTACTTAGCCCCACTTGTCTGGGTGAGGTGGGCAGTCAGATGGTACCCAACAGGTTCATGACTGCTGACCAGGGTCCAGAAGTGTTTAAGGAGATAAACCAGACTAACTCAACCACTTTTCATGGGCTAGGCCAGTATCATTTATCTACCATTAAAGCCCAGAATCTAATTCAATAGGTTTATAGCAAGGTATAAATGTCTTTCTTTTGGACATGATGCTTATGAATCTTGACTTTGATCCAAAATATGAGTAACATGGCTTTAGAGCATGATTTAGAGTTGGCATTTTATTCAGATTATAATAGAACCCAGGCATTGTTTCATTCTTGTTGTAGACACAAATACAGTAATCCCTTGGGTCACCAGTGCTTCTGTTTGCACACTATTAGGTCTGCAAACAAAAGCATTCCACAAAATTTTGCTTCCATTTGCAAACTCAGCATATGGTGCCCAATACAACCGTGACTATCTTCTCTATAGGGACATGAACACAGCCACTTTCTCCAAAATTATAAAACAAATTAAGTTTGTTAAACAAGGTACTAATGTATTAAGGCCCTCCCAGGTAATTAAAGAAGCAAGAGAAATATCTGAACCCTATGTGGGTGCACCTGTGTTGATCTCTTTGGTTTCATTAATCCTTACTCTTTATTCCCCTAACCATATTCATGGTTAACCACCCTTAAAGCCTAATTCCCACATTTGGCAGACTTCTGCCAATAGATTTTGGTGAGACCCTATAACCTTTTCAAGCTTATTTCTCAAAAGGAAATCTTGGAGTAGTGATATTTAACATTTTCTTTGATTTCTTTCTTTCTTTCTTTCTTTCTTTCTTTCTTTCTTTCTTTCTTTCTTTCTGTCTGTCTGTCTGTCTGTCTGTCTTTCTTTCTTTCTTTTTTGACAAGACCTTGCTGCGTGGTTCAGGCTGGCCTTGAACTCACTGTGTAGACCAGGCTGGCCTTGAACTCATGGTGATCCTCTTGCCTCAGCCTCTGATTGCTGGGATTATGGGCGTGCCCCACCCGGCTCACACTAACTCGGGAGGCACTGTGGTGTGAGGGCTGGAGTGCTGAGAAGGTGGACATTAGCTTGAGGTGGCACCCTAGTGCGGTCCTTAGAAGACTTTTGTCCACGAGAAAGCTGGTTCTCTGAGGTGTGGGGCTGGCAGGAATGAGGGAAAGGGATTTTGCT